TCTGACAGTCAGTGGACATCTTCTCTCAGCTGCGACTCACTCGAACTAGTTTAACGTTCAAACACGTCACAGGCTCCGAGTCTGTGTCTGATGTGCGGCCACTTCACCACTACGAAAAATAAATACGTCTTTTATCATAAGTGCAAACGAGGAAAGGTTGTATCACACATCACACAAACTCTCTCTCTCTCACACACACACACACACACACAGCGTCCAGGTTCTTTGTTAACCAGGAGCTGAGCACACGTTCCTCCTCTTCCTCCTCCACTCACTGCTGCATGCAAACAAAACAACACACAGAGGCGCACTGTGGGCTCACTGCGCCCCCTACTGGCATATTAAAGAGATGGTTCACCCAAACATGAAAATTCACTCATTATCTGCTCACCACCATCCTCCTCTGGAGATGCTTCCATGCACGGATCACAGCGGACATGTAGGCTAAAAACACGGTGGAAATGACATCATCAACATCCAGAGTGTTCACCCACCCCTCCACCTGCACAGTGGTGAATAGGTGATGAGTGAATTTTCATTTTTGGTCGAGCTATCCCTTTATACTTTATTTCCTTAATCATCCCATCAGAGATTTTTTTTAAATCCACAAGGGAAAGTATTTCATTTCACTGAAGTAAGTGTAAATTGACAAAGAAAAGATAAAAGTGCCACAACTTGAGTAAAAAGTACTTGTTTTTAATTATACTTCTAGGATTTCAGGGGCTATTTACACAGAGGGGCCCAATTGTATGTCCAATAATCGTGCAGAATTCCTGATTTAGTGAGGATGCACATTTATCTCATTCCTTGTTTACTGTTAGCTTTATAGTATTAGTAGTTTGAGCAAAGCCACACATCACTGAATATATTTTGAAAATTGCTCCTTGTTCAATTACAAGCTTAAAAATATAAAAGTTCCTTTACAAATTGCCAATCCAAATTAAAATATAACCTCCTTGGCAGAGGAGCTGTAACTTGCTTATTAAACACAAGCAATGCCTGCTGGTTTTGTAAAAATGCATTTATTAAAATGCTGAAAATTGTGCATTTCTGATTTTACTGTTTTTCAGAAATCATGCTATGTATATGTACTTTTATGTGTATGTTTATATGTCTTGTACATGTATACGTATATGCAGTTTGAAAGAGTAACCCTGCTTGAGACCATCATGTTTAAGGTTGGATGAAAAGTAGAACTTCTCAGTGGGTAATTCAGTGTGTTTATAACAATCGGTTCATTCAAAGCTACAGTATGATCATCAGTAGCTGGGTGCATGTGGATTGTAGTGTCTCACACAATACACATACACGCTGTACACAAGGACATTTCATTTCTTTATTAATTTTGTAAATGTTGAGCTGGTGTACAGAGTAAATTGTCAATAGATGTCCTCGGATTTGATTGGATTAAAAGGCTTTTAACATGTGTATTTTAAATTCATGTTTGACTCTCCAGAACAATAAAAAAAGCAAACAAAACAGGTTAAAATACCCACAAGACCCCAATTTCTCCCCAGGTTACAGGCATTACCCAGAACTCAACAGTCTCTTGGTAGCTACAGCTGTATGATGCTAAAAGTACATCCATAACATAACTAGAATCCCAGTTGACGAGTAAGGGTGCATAGCATTCTAAGTAAATATATATATATATATTTTAATATATTTCATATATATATATATGTATATATATATATATAGCCTTTTATGTTAAAAACATTTTCTGTGCATGTGCGCAGTTGCATTCCTTAGTATTGAGTAATATGCTATTGCGTTAATAATGTCTTCAATCCATTCTAAAGGAATATACATGTGTTCTCTAGTTTTTGCAACAGTTAATATTTTTGCATGAACTTGGTGCATGGCATCATCTCAGTCGTCCCTCAGTGCAGGGCGCGCCATTGTTCGTTTCCTCCGATGTGACCACTCCTCCCTCTGCTTGCACTTAGTCCGACTCCTCCGTTCAGACTGTTGAAACTGTCCCCACGTGGAGGCCTTAGAATCAGCTCAGTCTCGTGTTTGATAAGGGGGCAGAAATAGATCAGGAGTGGGCTGTGTTGAGTAAAAATCTTAAGAGACTAGCCATCGAAGCCACCAAGCTGTCCCATGATTCCATGCAGCTGCCCCCCCCTCCCTTGCTCTACCCCTGACATCAGTTGTGCATTTAAAAAACAACCCCCTGCTTCAGAAACCAAGCATACCATAATCATGAGCCCTTAGAGAGCAAACCATAAGACATGAGGGGTACAACACCATTACACTGCAGTGTAATCTCCACTGACATCCAACCTTTTGTGGTTCATAGAGAATATAATAAAATATAAACTATATCTGATGAAGGGATATTTTGTTAAAATGTAAAAAAAGAAACATTAGAGGCTTCTCTTTAAATCTCTCTTCTTACACGATCTGTGTGCATGTTTGCAATGAAATGACAATGAACTAACATGAGCAGATACTGAGTGAAATACTCTATTATCTACTAAAGTACAGAGCCAACACAGATGACTACTTTATAACAAGACTTACAGTTTACCAAGACCTTACATTCATCATCTCTGGCTGTGACGCCATACTAAACACTTATTATTGATGGGTGCTTATTGCAACGGTTTTGTGACTTACAACTTTTTCCTTAATATATTGTTTGATGTCGACAGAAATGTTTGAGAGAAAATGAATGCATGTAATCAATATCATGTGAGATGATGCGCTTATTGAGGTAAATTAATGTTTAAAAAATATGTGAATTAGAATTACACGTCTATTTATATATATAATCTGAGAGCTGCTGCTCTTTGTCCATTTGCAATATTACTTCCTGTGATATTATCACAACATTGACATTTCCCAATATCCAGGACTGAATACATGATATTAAAACCACACACACACACGCGCGCACACACACACGCGCACACACACACACGCGCACACACACACACGCGCACACACACACACGCGCACACACAGATTTCTTTCAAGGTGCATATGAATGTTATTAAGGTTTAAAAACCATGACGGACAGACAAACACCGGGCACTTTGCAGATGGGATGGCTGGTACATAAATTATACCAATACTTCTTAAGTGCAAAACTTAAGCGTAATAGTTTTCTTATCTAAAGAGGAAGAGTGATGAAATGTGGGATACTAATGTACTGACATCATTTCTGAGTGTAGTGAGGAGAAGGCTAAAGCTGTAATGAACAGATCACGAGGCCGTAGCTATGATCCTAAAATCCTCTTTCTCTCCGTCTTTTCGTCTGTCACACTTGAACACACTCGAACACACTCGAACACACTCGAACACACTCACACAAACCGTTTCTAAGCAGTTATTGCTTCTGCTGAAGTACAGTTAAGACAGTAACCATGAGGAAATAAAAGACGTAAGAGGAGGGGAAGGAGTGAGACACCCTTAGGAAGGGTCAGGCTCACAGTTGTGGGTCAGTATTACAGTTTCTCATCACAGTGATCGTCGACTGACTGTCTTTGCTACACTACCAGGGAGACAAACCACAGCTCAACACGTCTGTGACCATTGACTAACCTCACTCCTCGTTTTCTACCCAGTCAAACCAGTGCTACATTATTATTATTATTAAATTATCAACCATCATCAAGTCACATCTTCTGGTGGTGGTGAGATGGTCTGTGAGTGCAACTTATGGGTGGTGGCGTCAGATTCTGCAGGATGAGGTCAACCAGACACTGCTACGAGCCAAAGGTGGGATCCTGCCCTCTGCTGGAGGAAGACAGGACTGCTACATCTACTCTGAGAGGCTGACTGAAGGGGCGAGGGGGGTGAGAGGTGGAGGTAGGGCGATAAGGGCAACATGTAGTGAAGAGAGGTATTGGGATTTTAGACAGACGTTGGATTAACGCGGACCTCACAAGGATACAGCACACTGTGGACCAAAAAAAGTTGGAGGGTTGGCATGGTAGAGTAGGTTAATCTCTCATAATCAGTCGTCTGTCATATCTGTCACTATCAGGCAGGTTCACTGCAGAAACCTGCCTCCAAACGCTCAAAAGCCAACATTACTGAGAGTCATGATTTACACTCTTCCCTCAACAGTTTGACACGTCCAAAGCAAAGTGTGAACGCACATGAGAAGCACAAAGAAACAAACAGCCGGACACACAGAAATCTCCACGTTTAAAAACAGGCAGAGCGACACAACAATTTGTATGTTCTTGTACCCACAAAGATCTCGAGATATATAGAATAATACATAGGTTCAGACCAAACAAACCAAACGAGAAACGAACAAACAAAAACCAAAAAACAGGGAGGAATTTCTTATGTACCTGAAACAGCAGCATCAGTGGCGTCGCTTAGGGATCTTAACATAAACAACACACGTAACACAGTCACGTAGAGCATTTTAGTGCATAAGATATTATGTACAACACCAATATCCTTGTGATAATTGTAGCTTTACTGGACTTTGAGAGCACTGGGACAGGTTTGTTATGCTCAGGAGTATGGCAGGTCGGAGGGGGAGGAACCTGTTGCCTAGAGATTATGTAATCTTCATTATTTTATTTATCTCCCTTTTTTCTTAAGATACATTTTCCCCTGTTGGTTTAGAAAACGACCATATACCCTACAATGCATGCCTGTCCTATACAGAAGTGTCTCCTCCCCGTCCCGCCCACCCTTACACCCACCCCCTGCGTTCCCTCAGTATTTGTAGTTTAAGACAGGCCATGCTGCAGCAGTCACTCATGCTGATACAGATAACAGGAAGCACGTTTTGGTTGCTAGTTTTTTTTGTTTGTTTGGTTTTTGTTTTATACGAAATCATGCTTCTAGCCTAGTAATAGATGTTTTTTACCCACAGTTTCTTAAAAAAAAGGAAAAAAAGTAATAAAAACTACAGGTAAATCTGTATCCTTCTCTTCTGGTACGTGCTGATAGTCGGCAGAGCCACTGTGGTTGTCAGTAAGTTGGTGTTTGTAGCTGTTCGTTTCTGCCTGTCTGCTTTTTTTTTACGTGTTCTTCCTCTTGCCAGCTGCTTCTGGTCATGTGTCCATATAGGATGGTTTTGGTGAAGGGGTTGAATCCTGCGAAGAACTCTGTGGAGAAAGAGAGACAGAGTCAGGACAAGAGAAACGTTTGTCTCAACAGAACAGAGAAAAACTTCATACAAGGCAGGTGGCATGCAAGCTGCAGTGAGACAGTGCAATTTAAACACATCTAGCAGATTTGATATGCATTCTTTAAAAAGGTCCATCTGAAGTTGATCCTCATTTTTCATCAGTCACTGTAAAACTACAACACAGCACATTAGTTCTGCAAAAGCCATTCAAGCAAAAATGGTTGGCAGAAGTGGTTTAACATTCACAAGTGAGTCGCCAGAAATATCAGTAATTGCATGAATGTCACAGCCTTTACGTTACAAAGGGCAAGTCACTCACACTTACACTGTGAGTCTCTCTCACTCTCACTCACACACACACACACACACA